AGAAAAACTGGCCTTAAAGAGTGTACCATGCAATCACCGTGCCCTGAAATTAACTAAGAACTCATTTGTCAGGAGGGCACCTACCCTACAGAGAATTCCTCCAATTACCATCAAAAGCGATCATTCTTAGCCTCTCATGCATTAAGCAAATCTTGTCTGCACCCAATGTTCTGTTCATAATCAATGGGGCCCTTTATGTATGTTATCTCAAATTTATCACCTCGCACATTACTAAAATGAATGAACTAACAGATGGATCTGCTGTACATCTAGAAAGCAGACTTATTTGTTGTCTGCAGGTTCTCATGGGATTTGCCTTTGGTCTCTGAGATGCATCACTCTGCAGTTTCTCATAGGTTGGGTATATGTATTGGCACCCACTGACGACATGTGTTGGTGCTCCTAGATGGACAGCTAGAAGAGGAAGTACATTTTTGGTAGGGTTACTTATATTTTGAAAATGTCAACCATGGCACTATCTGTTTATGTTGAGGAGTCAGCCTTGTTATAAAAAGCATGCATGAAGATAAATAATGCCTGATGCTTTAGAGGTGATGGGAAGAATGATATGTTCACATGTTCTAGAGTAACATAGTGCAACATTCTTCCTGGCTACTTTCATAATATTAGATCAGGATGTGTTTCTCAATGTAGCACTGAAGCACACTTGAAAGAATTTACTTGTGGAGATGAGTCAAACTTTCAAAATATGTGTTTAGTATGATGATGCATACCTGCAATGTCCAGTGTTCAGGAGGCTGAGGCAGGAGGATTTCCATGAATTTGAGACCAGCTTAGATTGTATAGCAAGACCCCGTCTCATAAATAAAACAATGTAGTTAAGAATTGAGAAGGACTACTACCAGGGCATTAAACCAAATGCAGAGTATCCAGGGCTGGAGCTGTTTGCAGGCATCAGCATTTGTTTCTTTAAGTAAGTTTTGATGCACCCACTGTGCTATGATATGGACGAGGAACCAGTCTTCAAATGCTGACAGTGCTCTGAGACTGACTTCTATTATCTTTGGAATGCTCTACATCTTAGTAATGTCTGCTTCTGGAAAGGTGAATTTCATTATCGGGATAGGAAAGGACACCCTAGAAGGAAAACCAAACAAGCACATGTCGTAGAAGACCAAGGAAATGTGTTTCGGGTCTTACGTGTGCGCTGTGCTGTCTCCACCGGCCTTGCACACAGTGAGATCAAGTCCCCCGAGGTCAGCCGCACTCCGGTCCTCTGCTCTTCCTCACCAACTATTCTCTACACTGCTGTCAGTGTTTCCTTCCCAAGGCTTAAAGCTTCCCTAATTGCTCACTGAGCACAGCGACCAGGCCTCCCAGGCCCCAGCTCAAATCTTCATGCGGATGCCTCTCACACCTCCTCATCGCTTACAGTCTGGCACTTGGGCAACCTGTCACCTCTGTGACAGTTTTTCCCTTGCCAATCCCCCCTGATTTTATTTTTCCTTCTTGCTTGTGACACTCCATCTTCCAAAACCCCTTTGAGTTCCCAGAATATTCATTCTGGATGAATCTTCCCCTTAATTCTCCATGTAATATATCCATCTCTTATTGCATTCCTCAAGATTCCAGTTGTTGCATAGTTAACTTGTGTCTGTACTGATTTTAGAGTCTCCCCAGCCCCCCCAAAAGCTACAACATCTCTTGTGCTCTTTATAGAGTGACAGCTTGTCCCACAGTCACCTGAGACGATGTGAACACTGTTTTCAGGGTTTCTACCACAAGGCTCCTGGAGAGCTGCCCAGGAGCAGGCTTTTCTAACAGGCTTCCTGGTTGTGCAGCCATTGCTGATGACACGAAAATGAAGCTTTTGAGAAATACCACTTTTCAAAGAGGAGGAAAGGTGAACTTCAAATGCAGGAGCCTCTGTCCTGCTGTGACCAAGAAGACACGTTTAAAGCATCAGGTTTAGAAGTGGAGACTCGTGTTTGAATTCCAGTTCTGTCACTTAATCCTTGAGCAAGTGGTTAGCCTCATGGAGTTTTCACTTCCGTGTCAGACAGCTGGGAACACCATAACCTCTGCTAAAGGTTTGTTCTGCAAGGCCAAATGGAATCACGCATATAAAATGTCTGGGAAATGGGAGCTACTGTTCCTCACCCACCTAGTCAACATATTTACTTTATAAGGATTATTTTGTGTGTGTGTGTGTGTGTGTGTGTGTGTGTGTGTGTGTGTGCGCGCGCACACGCGCGCGCGCGCTCACACCCAGTGACAACAGCCCATCTCAAACCATTTTCCTGGGCTTTTGACTAAAGAACATTTCCATGGGGATTGGTGCAATAGCAATTTCCATTTCATTTGAAGAGGCTTTGGAAAGTAAGACGTCAGGTACATCAAAATAATTATTTTATAAAGAAGCTAGCATTAAAAAATACAACTTATAAAACCAGGTTGCTGAGGCAAAATGTCATCTCTCATTGCTTTGTCAGTCCTAGTCCATAGCATTTAGTAGTTTCAGGAACATTATAAAACATAGTTCAATTTTCTTTATTGTTGCTTTTCTTGGGGGGGGTTGAAGTTATTTTTTTATTATGGATTTTATGATAAATAACTTAGCTTCAACAGCACTTTTGAATTTGCTAGACATTAAAACAATAGAGAAAGACCATCTTATAAATTGAAATTCACATGTGTGAACACTAAATGCTGGGATTTGATTTCTTTGTTTCTATAGAAACAAAAGAAAATTGAGATTAAAATAAGCTAAAATGGAATGTGTTTTATGAAATAGATAAAAGAGCTTATTTTACTCGTTGGCTGTGCAGTGTGCTAAAATTTTTTTTTTTTTACATTAAACACCCTAGCTGTCTGTGAACCATCCCACCTTGTTTGGGAAAGTTCCTGTAGATCAGGGATTGGGGTGATGAGTCAGGAAGTGGAGGTCACGGTTCAGGATAGGGCTATGGTAGCAGCCTTGTGGTGAGTAGTGAGTTTGATATCAATAGAAAATGCAGGGTTTTTTTGTTATTTCCTTCCTATTAGAAACACTGTGGCTTATGGTTAGATGGAGTTGGGGAGTGAAAACAGTCTTCAATGTAAAAACCATGTCAGTGACCCCTGTGGTGTTTAAGTCATGTGACAGTTAAGCAGAGGCATCAGTGATAATGAGTCCTTGGGTTGCTAAAGAAAGACCAGCAGTTGGGCAGTGGTGGTTCATGCCTTTAGTCCCAGCATTCAGAGGCAGAGGCAAATAGATCTCTGTGAGTTTGAGGCCAGTCTGGTCTACAGAGTGGTTTCCAAGACAGAGATACATAGAGAAAATTTGTCTTGGAAAAAAAAAAAAGACAGACCATCAGAATAAATCAAAGAACCAATGTTCTCTGTAACAGTGTAGGAGAAAGTTAACCAAGGGATTGTTTCCAGGGAAAGAGGCCAGGTCTTGTGAGATGCATGACACAGTCTGACAGACGAAAGAGGGAGATCATCCCAGTAGCTCAGTAACTGAAGATCATGTACAAGGGCTTGTGCATCTGGGGTGTGTGCATGTGTGTGGAGACCAGAGGGTAATATCAGATGTCGTTGTCAGGAGCACTATTCTCTTTGCTCTTTGAGGGAGGGACTCTCCGTGACATGAAATACTTCAAGTAGACTAAGCTGTCCCAGGAATCTGCCTGTGTCCACCTTCTCAGCATTATTTTTACAGGGAAATACCATTAGGCCTTGTTGGGTTTTAAAAGACAGGTTCTGGAAAGTTGAGCTAGTCCTTATAGTGGTAAGTGAAGTGCTTTACTGACTTGGTTTCCACCCTATCCTACCACCAAAGAGTTTTTTACATAGTGTTTGGCATGTGTAGCTGGCTGTTGTCACTTCAGCGTGCAGCTTTATGGAAGTCTTTTAAAAGGCCATGGTAGTCAGCCTTCCCTCACTATAACAAAGTATATGGGATCATTAACTTATCAAGGAAAAATGTTTATTCTCTGACAGTTATGAAGGATCCAGGATGGTTGATTGGTCTCCAGAGCTTTGAACCTGTGGTGAATAGATGTTTGTGGGACATCATTTAGTTGAGTAAAATTGTTCAGGAAGCAAGAAAAATGGGGAAGAGACTGGGGCTCCAAAATTCCATAAATAAACTAGACTAGACATCTCACTAGCCCCCAGCTTCTAAAGATTCCATCATCTCATACTATTGTCATTCTGGGGAACAGGCTTTTAAAACTTGGGCCTTTGGAAGATAATTAAGTTCTGAACTCTGTAGCCAGAATGTGAACACAGTAACTGATCAAGCTGAAGCATAGGTTCAATCTCTAGTAAATAGACAATATTAAACACAACTGGTTCTGATGATAGAGACCACTGATACCTTTGCCCTAATGTCTAATACAAACATATTTTCATGTTCTAATCAAGTTATATATAATGACTCTCCAGTGCCACCATTGATTGGGTACTGTCATTTCATTAAATTGCAAGTGACTTGAAAAAATTGGAGAGATAAAAATATAAAATTAATATCTGTGATGAAGTTGATATTTCTCAAATATAAAAAGTAGGGTCCTTCATCAAAAGACTAAAGACCAGAGTTTGGAATTAATTGCTGGATCCATAGAAATTGGGTGAGGACTCTTGTAGGCTCAAACATGTATGTTTCATGTGTGAAAGGGACTACCCATATCAAGATGTCATAAAAATATAGCAAATAGTTGATCCTCCATTCCTCCATTAGTGTGTATTAGTGCTGTGGCTGGTGGTAGGTCAATGTTAGAACACATGCTTAAAACACACAGTCCCTTGATCTGAGTAACACACACACACACACACAGAGACAGAGAGAGAGAGAGAGAGACAGACAGACAGACAGACAGACAGACAGACAGAGATTTAATTTTCAGGCTTGATAAGTTATCCTTCATTAGTTCCTATGACATTAAACCAGGGTCTCGGGAGACAATTGAGGACCAGCTTCTTTAAGATGTTCAGAAGGTCCTTATATTTGGTTCAATGCTCTGATGTTTGTGATTGTGTCATTTCTGAAGCAGGGACTCTGCACGTCCATCTTCACTGGGTCCTTCACTGGGTTATGAAAGCAACGCTGGAGACAAGCGCACCTCTGAAAGTAAGTACCAATCTTTTGAGTACTCTCATCTTCATTCCCACTCCAGCAACCACAGCCAGCTGCTTTGTTCCATGCCATATGGGTGGTCTTCTCCTCACCCCCAGGGCAAATTTGATTGGTTTTAAGGTAAACTCTTGAACCAGTTGCTTGACTTCCTGGTGTGATACTGTTTCAGCGACCCTATAGAGTGTGGTTCTCAACCTTCTTAATGCTTCAACCCTTTAACATAGGTCCTCATGCTGTCGTGCCTCCAACCACTAAATCATTCTATTGCTACTTCATAACTGTAATTTTGTTATTATTATGAATCATAATGTAAATATCTGTGTTTTCCAGTGGTTTTAGGCAACTCCTGCAAAAGGGCCAGTCAACTCCAAAGGGTCAGAAACCACAGGTTGAGAATTGTTGCTATAGATGGTGTGTTTGTGTGTGTGTGTGTGTGTGTGTGTGTGTGTCCATGCCGCATGCACTCAAGTGTGTATGTGTGTCTCCTGGTAGCTCAGGGGAGGTGAGCAGTTTATACTTACATGGGCCCTGCCTTCTGCTTCTTCCTTCTACATATGTAGTATTGAGAGTTTAAATATGACAAGAGATTCATAAGTTTTTGTAATCAAAGAACATTCAACCTAATGTACCTTCCATCTGAAAACATGTTTGCCAGGATACAGGCGCTCAGCAGAAGAAAGACAAAACAAACTCACCTTGCTTTTATAGTGCACTTATTAAGAATGCATGTTCTATCAGTGATAATCCCTGTAAGCATGTGAAAGAATGACAATTTTTTTTTCATTCTTCTAGACTAGGCACTACAGCCCAGTGGGGAAAGTTTCAGATTGAAAACTTCCAGTAATTTGTGAGATGTTCTCTTCTTCTAGATCTCAGCTGGGCAGACTGAATCATCAGAATTCCTAATTTCCACCATCAAATCCACAACATGGTATCAGAACTAATAAATTGAATGGTAAGAACATTCATCAAGATGAAAGTGAATCCCAAGTCTTTCATTTTGCTTGCTTCTGCTGAAGTCCAGCCAGGCTTGTGCTAACTGGTGTTTTTCATCCTTCTACAAGGAGACGTCCTTGTGATTATTCAATACTGGACAGTCTCAAGTATAACTTAAAATACAGTTTTCCTCAAACTAAATTAGGAGTCCTGAGAAAATGCATTTATTAAATATATGCAGTGTCCCAAAATCTGTAGTGGTGGGAATGGAGGTTTCTCTTGCAATGTGTATTCAAATGGGGGAGAGAAACAAGTGTAAATACAATCTCAGGTGACAGCAACACACACGGCTGGGTAGGGAATGCTGGCCAGGGTGTGTCTTATAGCCGCTACCAGGAAGGCTAGTCTCTCTCTCTCTCTCTCTCTCTCTCTCTCTCTCTCTCTCTCTCTCTCTCTCTCTCTCTCTCTCTCTCTCTCTCTTCTTTTGGTTTTTCGAGACAGGGTTTCTCTATGTAGCGTTGGAGTCTATCCTAGCACTAGCTCTGTAGATCAGGCTGGCCTGGCTAATTTCTCTCAAACAATCAAGATAGTCTTATCCAATATGGCAAACAATCAGGAGGGCAGGTGATAGCTCTGAGATTGGTTTCTTCAGTCAATCAAAATGACACCATTAAGAATTGGGACTATCTATTTCTGTGCTCTACCATTCTAAGTGTGGTGGCCTTGTCAGATGCTGTACCAGAGTTCTGTTGCAATTCAAGCATCCCCAGGTCACTTAGCTGAATTTAGCTCATGACAGGCAATGTACTTTGACCTGAATGTCATCAGCCTTTCCAAATCAAAAGCATAGAGTTTCTGTGATGGCTTTGTGGTAGTTTCTTACTGGCACCCATAAGCTCATAGGGAGTGGCACTATTAAGAGGTTTGTCTTTGTTGGAATAGGTATGGCCTTGTTGGAGGAAGCATGCCACTGTGTGTGGGGGGGAGGGGCGGGGTTCGGCTTTGATGTTTCCTGTGCTTCGCTCAGTGTCTGGGTCCATTTCCTGTTGCCTTCTGATCAAGATGTAGCCAGAACCATGTCTGCCTGCATTCCACCATACTCTCCACATTGGTAATAGTGGACTGAACCCCTGAAACTGTAAGTGAGCCACCCCAATTAAGTGAGGAGTTGCCATGGTCATGGTGTCTCTTTACAGCAATAGAAACCCTAACTAAGACAGAAGTTGGTATCAGGGTTGAGGATACTGCTGTGGTAGGCGGGACCATGCTTTTGTTTGGAGGAATTTGGACTTTGGTACTTTGAGTTTGGAAAGCAGTGATATGCTTTAAGCACTGTTTAATTAACCAGGCTAGTAACAGCATGGAAGACAGTGATGCTAAGAGGTATTTGAACTGGGGGGCTCACTCAAGAAGTTTCAGAGGAAAGAATTTTTAGTATACTGTGATATTTTGGTGGAGAAAGTGGCTGCTTTTTGTCCTCATCCAAAGAGTCTGCCTGAGGTCAAAGTGAAGAGTTTTGGATTAATTCTGTTAACATAGGAAAACCCAAAACAGCCTAGTATAGACTCTGCTGTGTGGTTATTAGAGGTAACTAATGAAAAGGAGTGAGTTGAGCAAATAAAAATACAAAATGTACAGATTGAAGAAAGAGGCACCAGGAAATGTAATGGAGCTAAATCCTGTGTTCAGGAGATAAACAGATTAAGAAATGGAATAAACAGCTGACCTGACAAAGGTTAACTCTTGAATCCCAGGCATCAGCCTGGGAATCCATCATGGAACTGATCAAGACCCCCCTGAATGTGGGTGTCAGTGAGGAGGCCTAGGTAATCTATTGAACCTTGGGCAGTAGATCAGTACTCATCCAGAGTATACACACGGACTTTGGACTCCCATCCAACAATGTGAGGTGCACTCTCACCCTGAACTCTTGGGGAAGGGTCTAGGCCCTGCCCTATATGAAATGACAGACTATGGACACCCCCATGGAGGGCCTCACCCTCCCTGGGGAAATGAGGGGATAATGGGGGGGTTGGGAGGAGGGCACGGGGGTAGGGGAGGGAAAGGGAGAGGGACCTGGAACTGACTTGTGAAGCAACCTTGTTTCTTATCTAAATTTAAACTGAAAAAAAAGTGCAAAGTTAAAAAAAAAAAGAAATGGAATAAAAAGCTGGGAGGTGGTGGTGGTGGTGGTGGTGGTGGTGGTGGTGTTGGTGGTGGTAGTGGTGCATGCCTTTAATTCCAGCACTCAGAAGTCAGAGGCAGACAGATATCTATGAGGTCAAGGCCAACCTGGTTTACAGAGTGAGTTCTAGGACAGCCTCCAAAGCTACAAAGAAACCCTGTCTCAAAAAGCAAAACAAAACAAAACAAAAACCAAGGAAGAAGAAGAAGAAGAGGAGGAGGAGGAGGAGGAGGAATAAAGGGAGTAATGACCTCAGGGCAAGATCCCACCCAACTAAATTTCTAATTTGTGAAAAGGAACTAAAGAAGAAGCTTAGAGCTGGATGTGGTGGAGCAAACCTTTAATCTCAGTACCTGGAAGACAGAAGCTGGTAGGTTTCTGAGTTTGAGCCCAACCTGGTCTAGAGATGCAGTTTCAGGACAACCAGGCTTGGGTAGTGAAGGACAGAAGGTTGGTGAAGATATAATTGAGTGAGGGGACTATGTTCCAGCCCTAGCAAGTAGCAGAACTTGGCAGCTTCGGCTAGTTGGTTATGTAGTTAAGGGTAGAAGAAAGGGGCCATGGAATTTGCCACAAAGCTGCTGAGGCCAGGCATGCCTTGGGGGTGTTCCTGAATGGATGCCTAGAGAGGTCATTGTGTGAAGCTGTGAAGTTGAAGCCTGGATTGCCTTGGAGAACCCAAGATTAAAGTTAGAGATGCCAGAGTCATAGGATACCTGCCAAGGCGAGCTGCTAACAGGGAGTGGATCCAGCCCAAGAGAAAGAAGTGTGTTGCAGTCAACAAAACTGAATGGAATTGGAGATCGGAAGAGCATTTTGACATCAGACGGGGAGATGCAATTTGCCAGGCTGGTTTTTAGTCTTGCTTTGGTCCAGTATTTTCTCACTATGCTGCCTTCCCTATGTCTTGGGATGGTAATGTATATCCTGTGCCACTCACTATATGTTGTAAGTATGTGATCTGGTTTTTGATTTTGATATTATAGGGGATTACAGTTAAGAGATTTTGTATATCTCAGAAGAGACTTTGAACTTTGGATTTTTAAACATTGTTGAGACTGTGATAGACTATGGGGACTTTTGAAGTTGGTCTAAATGCATCATGCATTGTGATATTGTTAAAAGCTAATGGGGGCCAGGGAGTGGAATGTGGTATTTTGAATGAATTGGCTCCCATAAACTCATTGGGAGTGGCACTATTAGGAGGTGTGGCTTTGTTGGAGTAGGTGTGACCCTGTGAAGGAAGTGTGTCACGGTGGGGGTGGGCTTTGAGGTTTCCTATGCTTAAGCTTCACTCAGTGTCTGAGTCCAAGATGCAGCCAGCACCATATATGCCTGCATGCTGCCATGTTCTCTGCATTCATGACAATAGACTGAACTTCTGAAACTGTAAGCAAGCCACTCCAATTAAATGTTTCCCTTAAATTAGAGTTGAGGTGTCTCTTCATAGCAATAGATGCCCTGAGATAGGCTTCCACCTGAGGAGTCAAACTTTTAAAGACAACTGTGGCTTTACAGACCTAGCATGGTGATTTCAGGGGAGGGAAACAGCAGGAAGCAATCTACAGATATTTTTGACATGAGCAAGATTTAATGAAAAGATATTTGCATTCTACAAATATCCAGAGAGTTCTTACATACTCCTATACATACATGGAGTATATGTATAGTTTCCCAGTAGGGGAAATAATGGTCTTTCATAAAATGGTATTTTCTTACATCCAAATTGTAATAAGGAAATCAAAATAAAGTTTTCAGATTTTAACACTGAGGAAACAAGAAATCTGGAATAACATCATCCCTGTTGGAATCTGCTCACCTGCTCCGGTTTTATATGATTGCATTTGATTTGGCTGCAGGCTTGTGGAAGACTGTTTTCTTTGGCTTGACCAACTCTACTACATGGCTCCTATCATTTTGCCCTGTTCTCTATTTGCTTGGTTTTATAATCCACAGACTCACAAATTGAAGAATGACTCTTTCCAACAAGGTAAGTGAATGCACTGATTTTTGAAATTATATTAAACTTTTTGAACTTCCCCAAATTAAAAAAAAAAACTTCATTTACTCTCTTAAGGAATAATTTGAGACACAACTCAAAGCAAGCAGGTCTCTAGTTTAGGAGAGATTTGCCTTAAATCTTTTTGGTAACGCTTAGTAAGGGAAGTGTAAAATCCAACCGGTTAGCTGGTCCTTCGCAGAAAATGGAGATCTGAGCAGTTTGTGGTACATTGAAGCTGTGGTGTGATTGGCTAGTGTCACCTTGCAGTGAGGCACCACACACTGTTTTTGGTGTGTATATGTGTGGCGTACCTGCAGATGTGTGGCCACCTGTGTGTGCAGGTGAATACACCTGAATGTGTAAGCCAAACGTTGACCTTGGGTATCCTCCTCAGTTGCTTGCCACTTTTTTTTTTTTTTTTTGACGCAAGGTATCTCATTGAACCACAGAGTCACCAGTTTAGCTAGATTAGCTGGTCAGTGAGCTTCCAGAGTTCTGTTTTCCACTGGGGATCCTAGGACTGCGGGCTACAGATATGTGCCACCACACCAGACTTCTTACAGTAGTGTTGGAATTGAAACTAGGACTTTGTTCTTGAGTGGCAGGTATTTAACTTTCTGATGAAACAAATAATAACAGTACAAGTATTTCTACTCATTTTAACTCAAGTAACAAACACTGAAGTTTACATGGGTTTGTGGAGGTTCCGCATGCCTTAAAAGTAGACTTTTGATCCAGAAGTGATAAATCTTTGGAGATGTGAAAAGAATTTCCACATCTTGCTGGGAATCGGGTACCTGTCTTCAGAAATTTTGGCAATCTAGACACCTACGATATGGACTGTCTCTCTTTCTGTGCTGGGAATCTAATCCAGTTTTCTTTTGGCCCTGTAAGTTTCACTGATTCTCTAATATGAATGCCCCGATAAGTTGCCAATAAAGCTATATGATGAATCATGTTCGTTGTTGTTCAGAGGTAACATAGATGTTTTTAAAAAGGACAATGTTATTATTTCCAATCCTGAGATCATGGAGGTCTTGTGCTCTGCCTTCTTCCATTCCATTCCTTAAGCTTGTTAGTTGCTAGGAAACCCACTGATCTTTGGCACCTTCCAAGCTTGCACTATAGGAGTTTGGACTCGCTGACCATG